GGGGAGTAGGCGAGTGGTGGGGGAGGGAGGGGTGAGGTGCTGATAAGGGGTCAGTTTGATAAAGGTGAGGGTAGAGGAAGAAATAAAAGAGAAGTACAGGAAGAGGGGAGAAGAGAAGGGGAGACTGAAGGAGGATCACAACGAGGGGAGAGGAGAACCAACATGCAGAAACATATACCTTAGAAAATAGTGCACAAGTTACTAAAAACAAATGGGTAGAGAGAGAGAGAGAGAGAGAGAGAGAGAGAGAGAGAGAGAGAGAGAGAGAGAGAGAGAGAGAGAGAGAGAGAGAGAGCGAGCGTGTAGAGAAAGATCAAGATGAAAATAAAGCAGAAAGGGGAAGAGGAGAGGAAGCAGAAAGGATGAGAAGGTGAAGATGGAGGGAGGAGGTAGGGAAGGTAGGGAACAACTCTCCCGCGCACCTTAGCTCATTAACTATTTACCTGCGACAACTTGATACTGACCTGCGGCCAGTTATGGAGGCATTCCCTTATTGGGGGAGGAAGGGAAGGGAGGGAGGAATTGGGTAAGAGAAGAGACACAAGACGCCTCCACCACCAACATACATATATATAATATATATATATATATATATATATATATATATATATATATATATATATATATATATATATATATATATATATATATATATATATATATTATACAGTGCCTCAAAACATTTTGAGGCACTGGAGTGGCTTGGAACTCGCAGTCTGGTGATTCCCAGACACCTGCCTTAACTGACTCGGCCACGATGGTACAAAATGTTGACCAACTCAAAACTCTACTTTTCTGGGAGGTTCTGGAGGCCCCTTCCCCCCAGATCGGGGCCCAACCAGGGCTTCAGAGACAACCAGACCACACTGACACAATGTCATGATAGAGGCCGAGCTTACTAGCGGTCGAGCCCTTCACCGCGTCGAGCCCTTCCCTGTGGCTGAGCCCTTCCCTGTGGCCGAGCCCTTCCCTGTGGCCGAGCCCTTCCCTGTGGCCGAGCCCTTCCCTGTGGCCGAGCCCTTCCCTGTGGCCGAGCCCTTCCCTGTGGCCGAGCCCTTCCCTGTGGCCGAGCCCTTCCCTGTGGCCGAGCCCTTCCCTGTGGCCGAGCCCTTCCCTGTGGCCGAGCCCTTCCCTGTGGCCGAGCCCTTCCCTGTGGTGGAGTCCATGCCGCAGACAGCTCAGCTCAGCGTTATCATTACCGCACATACATCAGCGAGCAAGTAAAGGAGCGCCGTGTTATGAAGAGCCATAATAACACGGCGCGTCGCGGCCTTGTTGCACTCACTCAACTCCCGACACTCGGGTCCTCAGTCTTACTTTTGGAATTTATAATTATTTTTTGGTGTGTGAGTGTGTGCCTTGTCGTACAGAAGACTACAACCAGGGAACTGAAAACCAGATAATGTAAGGGAGGAAGGAGAAAAAGATGGAAGGAAGAGCATAGAGAGAGAGAGGGGGGAGAGAGGACACCAAACTCTCGTCCCACGCCTATAGTCGGTATAGGTACTATGGAAGGAATGTTCAAAATTTGGACTTTTGCCCGGTGAAACGTCAACGTTTTGTATTATTTTTGAAGAGGCGCCGAGATAGTCGGCAACAAAGGTTATTTCTCATAACACTAAACAGGATTTTTGTTCCGGGTAATATCTCTCGTGACGTGTAAGGTGGAAACACGTGTGGTGAAGATGGAGTTATTCACGTGGAGTTAATGAAGAACTTTCACGGTCAGTTCTACATTGTTAACGATCAAAAAGTAATGATGCACCTGGACTTTTTCCTCATCTCCCTCCTGTCTTGTGAACTAGCATATATAACACTATTTGGAAACTCGAGCCGTTATCGGCGCCCATAACGTGCCACTAAACCCGGAATTACCTAATCACCAACGTTCTACCGCACCACCGGATCCCTAATGCCAATTAAGCACATCCTTACGAGTCGGGGATCGGAACAGTCTTGCCCACGACGCAGGAAGTCAGACCAACTAGACTTACTGCGATCTTCCAGGTGCCAAAAAAGCGTCGGGGGACCAGAAAAAGAATCTGCCAATGGTCAGAACTGTTTCAGTAGGCCTATAGCTTTTTAGAGGAGAGGCCAAGTGTATCTTTGTGGACGACTGAACATACAAACAAACGACCAATACACACTCACTGATGAGCAAAATAAAACACCTAAATCTCAACACAGTTATATTATGCAAATCAACCAACCCTTCAAAAAACACTTTATGACCGGACATTCAACACAATGTGTAAGCGTCTATAAAGTATATACCAATAAAAAAAAAATCATCTCCAGAGATATGTGTTGTAAGACAGGCAAATGAAAATGATATACAACTAGGTCACCACAAGTGTAAAATAGCTTACAGAACACTGGCATCCGGACCAGAACCCATCATGTAACTGTAACCGTTCTGCCACCACCCACAGGATGGGGTTCATGATGGAAATCAGGAAATAATGAAATTCATTAAACCTCTGGAAGACAAAATTTGCGAATTCCTTCTTTTGATAAAATCCACGAAGCTCTTCGTGAACACAACTCAATCTAAAAGTTTTTATCTATTTCTAGTATAAGTAATGAACTCACGAATCCTCACGCGTGTTACCAAAGTCCACGAATCACTCTCAAAGACTGAACAAGGTTTTAAAGTCGGCAAGAACCTCCAAAAACGAAACTAACTGACATCTCAGCTTTTATTACACTCCACATCTTTCTCCCAAAAGCACAATCAGACTCCAATTTATTCTTTGTTGCTAAGAATAAGATTTATGGATAATTTTCAGTTAACTTGAAGAGAAAAAAATATCATCATATATGCTTTCAAAATAAGATAATCTATTACAGAACACAACAACGTCATGCGATCGGAAATTATGAGGTGTTACATACCAGTGGCTACCTTGAGGCTACCTTGAGGTGCTTCCGGGGCTTAGTGTCCCCGCGGCCCGGTCGTCGACCAGGCCTCCTGGTTGCTGGACTGATCAACCAGGCTGTTAGACGCGGCTGCTCGCAGCCTGACGTATGAGTCACAGCCTGGTTGATCAGGTATCCTTCAACCAGGCTGTGACTGTGAGGTGAACCGTGACAGTGTGAGGTGTGACTGTGAGGTGAACCAACACCACAAAATAATAATACCAGATTTTGTAGATGATCACAAATATTATACTAATCATATCGAGTATGCTAAACCATCCTATATCAACAAATAAGTCGTGCACCTTTGCAGACGAGGAGTCACAATAACGTGGCTGAAATATGTTGACCAAACCACACACTAGAAAGTGAAGAGACGACGACGTTTCGGTCCGTCCTGGACCATTCTCAAGTCGATTGTGATTCACAATCTACTCTCCACTTTCTAGTGTGTAGTTTGGTCATCATCGTGCACCTTTACCACCCATGTCATCACAACGTACTACAACCAGCTGGTCTCAACTGACAGCCTTTTCTTGTGTATTCATTGAAGCTGACCAGTCCACCCCCCCCCCTCACAGGAAGGATCCATCACCCCAATTCACATATTCTACGATGCTGAGTCACGCCGAACTTGGCCGCTAGGGAGGAACATGCCGATGGAATGACATATTGAGTGGGAGAGACAGAGGCCACTTGCTGCCAGGCACTAGCAAAGCCCAGAGATGGTGTTTTGAGCTCAGAGTACAAAAGCCAGAGCTCTATCTCTGGGTGCTCTATCTCTGGGTACAAAAGCCAGAACTCTATCTCTGAGTACAAAAGCCAGAGCTCTATCTCTGGGTACAAAAGTCAGAACTCCAGCTCTGGGTACAAAAGCCAGAACTCTAGCTCTGGGTACAAAAGCCAGAACTATAGGCGTGCACACACATAACAAAAGCTAGAACAATCGATGTATATACAAGAACAAAAGCCAAAGAATTTAACGCTCTACCGGGCTATTTTGGGGGCGACAAAACGTCTGGAGTATTAATACTCGCCCTAAACACACACACATCACACCTGTCATACCAAACTGTTCAATCAGCATACGACCGCTTCAACTCTCAGGCCACACGGAACTCTCGGGTCACACGCAACTCTCAGGTCACACACAACTCTCAGGTCACACGCAATTCTCAGGTCACACGCAACTCTCAGGTCACACACAACTCTCAGGTCACACGCAATTCTCAGGTCACACGCAACTCCAACTCAAAGAACAAGAGTCCAAAGGAGAACGCATTACATTCTAGTCGGAGCAAGAATATGCAGAGTTAAAACGGATTACCTTCCCCCGCCCCCCTCAGCCATTCTTCGTGGTTCATGACCAGACTCTCCATCACAACATTCTTCCTTCAAACGACCCCTCAACACCCTCCCTCCCTCCCCAGGACTTCCCCATACCCATTTCCCCTCCCTACGACCTCTCTTAAATAGACCACTTAGTACCCACTCTTCCCGATACATTGTCTCCTATCCCACGTCCTCAAACCCCTCCCCCCCATCCCTCTAGCCTTCTATACATACCCCCTCTCCCATTACCCCTTTCCCATCGTCGCTTTTTCTCTCCTCGTCGAGAAGAATATTTTATCCAACAATTGTCCTCTCCAATTTTACCACAGTTCTTCTCTTACAGTTTCAATCTCCTTATCCAACCTTATACCTCTTCATCTCACTTCCTCTTTTCCTCACCCTGTTCCTCTTTTTTTTGTGTGTGTGTGTTCCCTCCCCTTTCCGTTACTCACCCCTTCACTCACTTCTTGAACTTTTCAGATTCTCGCTTACATTTTGACTTCCTCCACTTCCTGCTTTTATCTGATATACTCTTCCCTGATCCATACTTTCCTTATCCATCTTCCTGCCCTCTGAACGTGCTCTCCCACCACCTGGATGAGTGCCACAGTCGGCACCTGGATGAGTGCCACAGTCAGCACCTGGATGATGCCACAGTCAGCACCTGGATGAGTGCCACAGCACCTGGATGAGTGCCACGGTCGGCACCTGGATAAGTGCCACGGTCGGCACCTGGATGAGTGCCACAGTCAGCACCTGGATGATGCCACAGTCAGCACCTGGATGAGTGCCACAGCACCTGGATGAGTGCCACAGTCAACACCTGGATGAGTGCCACAGTCAGCACCTGGATGAGTGCCACAGTCAGCACCTGGATGAGTGTCACAGTCAGCACCTGGATGAGCGCCACAGTCAGCACCTGGATGAGTGCCGCAGTCAGCACCTGGATGAGTGCCACAGTCAGCACCTGGATGAGTGCCACAGTCAGCACCTGGATGAGTGCCACAGTCAGCACCTGGATGAGTGCCACAGTCAGCACCTGGATGAGTGCCACAGTCGGCACCTGGATGAGTGCCACAGTCAGCACCTGGATGAGTGCCACAGTCAACACCTGGATGAGTACCACAGTCAGCACCTGGATGAGTGCCACAGTCAGCACCTGGATGAGTGCCACAGTCAGCACCTGGATGAGTGCCACAGTCAGCACCTGGATGAGTGCCACAGTCAGCACCTGAATGAGTGCCACAGTCAGCACCTGGATGAGTGCCACAGTCAGCACCTGGATGAGTGCCACAGTCAGCACATACACTTGTCATCAGGGCCCATATAATTCACTGACCCGTCCCATGTCCGCCCAGTGCTCGGTGTCCGAGGTTATCAACAAACGAGTATGTCAGCTGTGGGGGTATACCAATATACTTAATATACCTATCTGATATCACGAACCGGAAATATGTTTATAGATAAACCAGGAAGAAGAGGAATATATCTGGAGTGGGTTCTGAGAGTTCTTCTACTTCCCACGCCCGGTTCAACAGGGTGTTGCTTGGAGCGGCCCGCAGGATCAACATATCCGCTCCATCTTGGTTAATCCGCACTTCTTGCTGGGACGTGTCTAAGATGCAGTTCTTGCAGTAGTTCGTGTAAGAGTTGAGCTCTATGCAATGAGTTCGTACTGATTAACGTCGTTGATTACCTCTTGAGCCTCACACTGCAACAGTTTAATCAGAGGGGAATGGGTATGTGGGCCTGCGGGCCACTCCAAGCAACAGCCTGGTGGACCAAGCTCTCACAAGTCAAGCCTGACCCCGGGCCGGGCTTTGGGGAGTAGAAGAACTCCCAGAACCCCATCAAGCAGGTATCAAGTAGGTAACACTGCTCAGTATATCCTCTCCATTTATATCTTCTATGTATTAATTACCATAAGACCTGTAGCACAGTAATCCACGTACTCGACTCAGGGACCAAAACCGATTGGGTACCTTTCTCTGTTCACCTAGCAGGAAATAGGTACCAGGAAGTAAGACATTTGTCGCGGGTTGCATCCTGGAGAGGATCGGTATAGACCGACCGATGAGGGACCTAGAAACAAGCCGAAGTACAGGCTTCCTGCCCCCGACAATGGGAAATATTTCTGCCCCATGAACATTTTGACGGGCAGAAAGTCAGCAGTTGAAGACCACGGGGGAACCTGTGTGTGCTCACTCGTGTGTACTGACATGCGCCTGCAGGGAGGGTGTCACCCCCACCCACCCTGGCACCCGCCTCTCAACTCTCCACCAACAATTCAAATGGTTGCCGACCCTCTTGCTTCTAATCACACCTGCTTATGACACTGTGTTTGGAGAGTGTCACAATCACTCTTCTTAAAGCTCATCCCTCTGGCAGCAAAGATGCTTTTGCTGAAAATGTGCGTCGAGTGTGTGTGTGTGTGTGTGTGTGTGTGTGTGTGTGTGTGTGTGTGTGTGTGTGTGCGTGTGTGCGTGTGTGTGTGTGTGTGTGTGTGTGAACTATGTATGTATGCTTCTAGTCTACCTGTCTATATGTGCATGTTAATACACTCGTGTAAAGATAGTTTGCATACTTTATCTAGAGCGTCTGGAGCTTCCATCAGCACGACCTTGAGCCACCACCACCACACCTCCACCACCACACCAACACTAACCTCTAGGCATAGAGGAAGTCAGTCATGCGGTTCCCTCACCCGCGCCACCTCCCTCCACCAACCCTCCCTCCATCTCCCAGTATACCCAACTCCAGGTATTTACGTGCATAAACATCAAACAAATGTAAAAATGTCTACTGTGTAATAACATACAAAAAATGCTTTCCAATTTCCTTACAACGCACGGGGGAAAAGTTTCATCAATGTGTAAAAATGTATAACAGGATAAAATGGCAGAAATGTCTCCCCCAAACAAGCTAAAATTAAATAAATGCACAAAAAATGTCCTCTTAAACCAGCGAGTCAAAGTTAAAAAATGTCATCGCAAACAAAGGGAAAAATGGCTTTTATGTTATTCGCTAAAAATGTCCCTTATTTAACTTCAAAGTCAAAGTGGTTAACTGGCCAAAATAACCAGTTCATTTACCGCTAACGAGGCTGAAATATCTACATAAAAAGGGGGTCTATAAAACACAACTTCACAGAGCAAGACACATGTTCACTGACAGAGTACATAGAACACACATACACACACACACACATATACATACCGGGGGGGGGGGGGGTTATAAGGCCCCCAGTGGGGGCCTGATAGCTGAGTGGACAGCGCTCTGGACTCTTAGTCCTAGGGTCCGGGTTCGATCCCTGGCTGATGGCAGAAACAAAATGGGCAGTTTCTTTCATCCTGATGCCCGTGTTACCTAGCAGTAAATAGGTACCTGGGAGTTAGTCAGCTGTTACGGGCTGCTTCCTGGGGCGTGTGTGTGTGTGTGAAAAAAAGTAGTAGTAACAGTTGATTGATAAACAGGTGAGAGGCGGGCCGAAAGAGCAGAGCTCAACTCCTGCAAACACAACTAGGTGAATACAACTACGTGAATACACACACACACACACACACACACACACACACACACACACACACACACACACACACATGAAGGTTCAAAGGTTTGCCACCAGACTTAGTACCCGAGCTGAGAGGTATGAGCTATGAGGAGAGACTACGGGAATTAAACCTCACTTCGTTGGAAGACAGAAGAGTTAGAGGGGACGTGATTACCACATTCAAGATTCTCAAGGGAATCGACAGGGTAGATAAAGACATGCTATTTAACACAAGGGGCACACGCACTAGGGGACACAGGTGGAAACTGAGTGCCCAAATGAGCCACAGAGATATTAGAAAGAACTTTTTTAGTGTCAAGAGTGGTTGACAAATGGAATGCATTAGGAAGTAATGTGGTGGAGGCTGACTCCATACACAATTTTAAGTGTAGATATGATAGAGCCCAATAGGCTCAGGAACCTGTATACCTGTTGATTGACGGTTGAGAGGCGGGACCAAAGAGCCAGAGCTCAACCCCCGCAAACACAACTAGGTGAGTACAGAGAAACAATTAAAAAAATATGTTTTCCCCCATACAAATTTTGTTATAAACTATATAAATGAAACATTTCCAATAACAAAGCCACGAGTCAAATACTGAAAAAAACTTTCACTATTACTAGTCTGTAACTCATTACACACTAATGTGACTTACAATGATATAATGACCCTATGACGTACTAGTCTGTAACTCATTACACACTAATGTGACTTACAATGATATAATGACCCTATGACGTACATAATGACGATCATTAGGTCATAGCCCCGCTATGATAGTATAGCCCCGCTATGATAGTATAGCCCCGCTATGATAGTATAGCCCCGCTATGATAGTATAGCCCCGCTATGATAGTATAGCCCCGCTACTATAAGAGAGGAGGTGTAGATGTGGATGGTGATGAGAACAGTACCTGCTTGATGGGGTTCTGGGAGTTCTTCTACTCCGCAAGCCCGGCCTGAGGCCAGGCTCGACTTGTGAGAGTTTGGTCCACCAGGCTGTTGCTTGGAGCGGCCCGCAGGCCCACATAAGTGTTGCTTACTTCCTCTCCCCGCTACTGTGCCTCCTATCTGACTGCAGCAACCGCTCCCTACCCCAAGGCCGCGCCTCTTGGTTGAACACTTGCCGGTGAAGGCGGCATCTCCTCCAGGCGCAATAGTGCCACATGCAGGAAGGAACAGCCGTGTGGACAGTGCTGCTGAGACAAGCTGCCCTCTGTGCAACAACCTTCTGCTCTCTCTGGCTGCTCTATGGCCCATCAAGCACAGCCCCAGCCTCAGACAAGTGTACTACTGGAGGGAATGATGGGTCAGGCAAGAGCTCTCGGCATGTGCTGAATTCTCCTGTAATTAACCTCCTGCTGAGCCCCAGTTTTCTGGTGCCTGGGGAGGCTCGTGCTGCTGCTGCTATGAATCTGAAGATGCTGAAGCACTTGTGGAGTGTGCGGTGCTGCAGACCGTGTCTAAGACCACGGGGCGTGGAGGACATCGATGCTTCTCCTGTCGCTGTTTGCTCAGTACGGTAGCACGCGCTACAACGAACTGGATGTTGTGGAATCGTGAACAAGACAGAGATTACCGGCGTTATATTCCCGCATACCTCACGATATAAAAATTCAATATTCTCACAAATCCACAAAATATAATTATACACTCTAAACATTTCTCAAAGCTGCCGCAAGAAGTCTGCGAGGCTAAATATTTGCACAGAATATCTCAACAAGAACATAACGTACCCAAAGCGTAATTGTTTACGTTCTGGTCCAAATAATCAGGTTGCTACAGCGTTGTGTGTTGGGACGCCACTACTCACACACATCAAGGTAAACATTACAGAAACAATCACTCCTTTGGTTCAATCACTGATTGTTATAAAACTAAAACAATCGTTGAATGCAAATTCTGATATTATCAAACCTTTTATTATTAAAAATATTCCTCAATATTATTTATATATTAGGCAAGCACATTAGAATATAAAACAGTTATATGGGAAAAGTTCAAGAGAGTGTTACGTTGATCTGACGGCATATGACTGGCTTACTGACGCCCGTATAGGATGGTATAAGAACGGTGCGGGTAGACATCAGTGATCACGTACCGTCCGTGGTACACTCCCCCCCCCCCCTGCCCTGTGTACCACACACCACAGTTCCCAATTATGTGTGTGTGCATATTTTCCATGTGGGTATTTGCACGCGCGCACAAAAGCCTTATATTTTTCAGTTTAGGGTTCAATATTGTTTATATATATATATATATATATATATATATATATATATATATATATATATATATATATATATATATATATATATTATTCGTAAATTATGCTTCTTCCTAAAGACGTCTGAGAGTATTGGGGTTAACTTGGGTCCGTGTCAGCTGGCGAGACACTCTCCAATAGCAGGTAATAATGACCTGAAACTGTTAGCCTTCAACACAATGAAAATTATAGTCGGTCATCAATCCTGATTTTAATTACCCTCAGCCCCAGACGGTAAATTAATTTCTTAATTAAAACTTTTTTTTTTAAACTGATGACTATCCGAAAGTTTCGCCCCTGCAGAGGCTGCCATCACTCGTGCGGAGGACCACAGACAACACACAACTGGCAAAGTTGAGGCAGCCCGTTTGAATTGTTGAGTGACAGTGTGTGTGTGTGTGTGTGTGTGTGTGTGTGTGTGTGTGTGTGTGTGTGTGTGTGAAAGACGGTACCATGTGCGTATGTCGGCGCTGTGTGAACCAGGTGGAGTAGTGATGAC